TATAGGACCATTCAACTCTTCCTAGACAAAAAAAAGAAGCATTGATTAATTGTTCTGTCATTCAGGGCATCACTTAAGAGATAATACAGCACCTTCCATTTGTGAAAAGGCAGCAAAAAGCTCTACCATGATATTCTCCAGCTCAAAATGCTTGTTACACTAACACCCTTCTTAGTAGAAAGGGTCTTTTCACATGGAGCATCTGGTTTACAATGCCTTTTTTTTGGAGGGAAAGAGTAGGAGGACAATAGAACCCTTAATGTGCAGTGACATCATTTTTGGCTACAGTCCCAGCATCTAGCCTTAAGCAAGCCAACAGAAGACCTCCAAGGGGCCCTTCTCTGGGAGCTGCTGGAAGCAATGCTGTGTTTCAGAAGAAACCCATTGGGAAGCACTGAAGGGGTGCCCCAGCACAACAGCAGGGTCTTTGCACTGCTAGAGCTACAAAAACAGGACAAGGAGGATCTCGCAATCACCACGCACACAACTCGCTCTGTTCAGACAGGAGGCCCCAACCCTCCTGCTCCACAGGGCAGGAGCTCAGACAAGATTTGTGCAAAGCAGGATCCAACAAAGCCAGTTAACCCTGGGTAAACCAATCTGTCCAGATTGTTCAACTGCCGCTGACCTGAGAGCAGGCCATGTCCCCAGGCCAGAGTTAAGGGACAGAGAATTTGCTTCGCAGCCTAACGGGTAACACAGTAGAGGTAACAGAACAACAGCCAACAGTATGAAGAGCAGCATGAAATGTGCATTTAACCATGCACATAATGGCAATTTTCATTAAAAGACCTGTAATGGGGAACCAAGTGTGTTGTACCTGGGAAGAGATGGCTCCCAACTTCAAAAACTCACAATCTGAATCTATAAACGCTTCTCCTAATTGACATACAGAGGTCAAAGATACAAAAAGGGCTGCAAGGACACTATTTCTCTTCCCTACCTTTAAAATCCCCATTTTAAAGATGGCCAAGCCTGCTTAGTCAACAAGGGGCAGGCAGCTCCAGAGAAAGCTCCATCCCAGCTCTAGACACCCTGTCCCTAATGAAGTCATAGATGTGAAAGATGACGAGTATATACTCAGACATCTAAAAGCTTCTTTGCAGGAGAAGAACCCCACCTCGACTGTCTGCCCAACCCGGCAGACACCCAGGATGGGGTGGGAAACTGTTTGAAGTCTCCACAAGCCTCAGGGTAACTCCAGCGCTACCTGTTGCGTGCAAGTAAGTATCAGCTACACATCTTTGTCAGACTCATCGAATCGCACTTCCACCCAAGCAGGATGGCTCCTGACTGAGCAGCTACACTGGCTTTCTTAAATATCCCATTCAACAACTTACCAGTTCATCTAACATTATTAATTTTCCAGTTCACCATCTTCCCTTTCCTTCTCGCAAAGCATGATTGTCTCCTCATCCAATTATTCCCCCTTCCCTGGTCTGTGAGGTGATGAGATCAGACCTCACCCCTAACACAGACACCTGAAAGCCCATCTGAATTACCACTTCATCACTCCACAGTGTTTCCTGGCAATCTTTCTAACCCTGACTGCATTCTCCTTTTAATCTCAACAGCACCACTTCAGGGCAGTTTGCCTTTTCCTCTCGAAGCCTGGCCTTCTTCCCCCACCCTCGGCTCCCTTCACTGCCTCAGAGTAAGGAGCCTTTGGATCCTGGGCCCTTTTCCAGCTTGAATACACTCTTGCAAAGGTCAGAAAATACTTAACCCAGCCCCTTCTATGAAGCGGCTGCTTCCAGCAGATCCTGTGATGTCCCAAAATAACAGAAGAGGGCAGAGGGGAGCTGCCAGAGAAGCGAATTTGCTCTGAAATTTATGGATACGGTCTGGGTCCCAGGGTGGGAAGCATCTGTCATGCATGAAATCCTCCTGGTTCCTACACCCACAGGCTCACAAAACAGCACAACAACACAGCCAGCTGTGTGACAATCCCATCCATGCAGAGCCAGGCATGTCCGATGCATCCAGTGACCAAAGCCCTGGCCTTGCTCTCAGCTCTCCCAGCACAATGCAACTGGGAAATGGGAAATACTTGTTGCTAGGGCATCTCAAACTTCTTTTTTCCATCCCACAACTCCACAGCTGCAAAATCCACACATTCTCCTTGCTACAGAGGAAGCGCATGACTCACTGTGTGAAAGGAGCATTTCTTCACCAGAAAGGTGTAGTTTACTAAATCCCCATAGCGCCCTAAGGAGACCAGCAAAGCACTCTGTCTGGCAGGTGACACCCTCCTGAACAGACAAGGTGGCAGAGGTGCAATATCCCTGCATATGCCCACAAGAAGGCAAGAACTTGGTCCCCGAGCTGCTAGGGGCAACTCCTTGTGATAATATGCTACTTCTACATTAAATATGACACACATCCAGAGTCCTGGGTGCTTAAATGAATAACTACATCAGAAATCCCAAACACAGAGCCTCATCACCTCCCACTTGACACTGCTGCAATGCTGCTTGACACTGGGATCAAATCATTCCCACAGCAAACTGGAAGCAAAAGCAAGAGAAGGAAACAGGAGAAGCAGCAAGCCCAGAAGAATCACCTGGCTCTGGTCCAGGTAACTCCAAGGCTCAGGAAGCAAATTTCTAATAATCAAAGGCTTGCTGGCTGGTTAAACATACCATCTATGCAGCACTTCTGCTGTTATTAAACATAAAACACTATTTATTACTGCAAAGGACTTTCTGCAGCATTAGAAACTCAGCTCTGTCTAATCCTTGCTCTCTTCATACACTTTAAGACTACTGTTGGGGGGGGCAGCGGGGGAGGGAAAGGAGAGAGCAAGAGCATGCAAGGTAAATGAACCATGCAATAAAAATTGTTGAAATTGGCTCAGACATCTCCTGATAAGATCACAGAAGTTGAGAAAGAATTGCAGCTCTACTGGTGAGAAATTCAACCATTGACAAAACACATCCACTCAGGGAAAATACTGAAGTTAAACAGACACTTAAACACACAGAGCACTAGCTAAAAATGGCAATTCTTTAAACACTGAAGTCAAGACTATTTTTGTCTTAATATGATTCTGATACCAGGAGCCAAGGCTTGCACATTTGGTATCAACAGTCCCCTCTGCAGGTTCATACAAACCAGTACTCACAGTATATGGATCTCACACACTAAGACTGTGAATCTGGAAGAAAATTTGTCTCTCTAGCTACCAAACCAGTCTGTCTCACACTCCCCACCACGACTTCATCCCATGAAGTTCAGTCCTGAGATGAAGTATCACAATGAGGGTCCTTAGAACTTTAAAGATGCTATATCATAGACTGAAGCTACTCATTCAGAGGTCTGTAGAGTGACTGGGCAATAACTACCTGGTAGGAAGGGATGCCCTTCCTTGGGGCAGCCACAGGGTTCTCAGCACCATCTCTAAGCCCTGCTCCTGGGTTAGTGACCCACCCCTACTGCTGCAGAATGGCTCAGCCAGTAGAGAGGCATCTGCAGAAAGTGCTTCCATCTCCCCGAGGACTTGAATTGCTCTGTCTCCACGATCCACCCCTGTGTGCAAATTCTAAGCCTTTGTGTATCTTATAGACACTGACTACCCAGGTTTGTTAAATGTCTGACTGGCTGTGGCAGCAGGATAACACTTTGAGAATATTTACTGACTCCTTTTGACTGCCGTTCTGAAGCATCATCTGCTCGTTCACATAGTGAAGTGCTTCATGTTTCAGAAATCATGTCAGCCTTTTAGCATTCTCCAGCAGGTAAGGCCCTCCCTGCCAGCCCTCTCAACCTGACTGAAGCCAAACCTGGTGAACAGGGAAGCCCGGCACTCAACGCCAGCTTCACAAGCAATGTCACACATGGTGCAAGGCAGCACTTTCAGCAGCAGCACACACAGCTCCTCATGGATGCTGCCTGCCAAGCATCCTAAACGTCTCCCACAGAGCTGAAACCCAACAGCACTCCCCATACAACCTTTTCTCCATAGTTATTGTGTAGCACAGAGCAAAGCTCATGGTGAGAGTGAGCTCTGTGCAGTGACACCAGCCTTTGTTTCTCCTGCAGAGCACATTGGCACACACAGCTCCAGAGAAGGACCTGTGTTCTCTACTGAGAGTTCCCATGTCCTCCAAGCCAGGCTCTCCCTAGATATGGCACTCTGCAGCCACCAGTAGTTTTCCCCATGATGCTGGTGACTAGCACATAACATACTAGCAAGGGAACAGCCAGTCTCCAAAAATTGAAGGAGAACCATTCCCAATTTTTCATGAAAATCCAAGCAGTAATGAAACTCTCCAAAGAAAACTTCTGCTCTTTGATTCCAGCAACAAACTGGTGGGAAATGCCTTTAGAACTGAGTTAACTCGACTCTCTGACCTGCTGTCCTTGCATCTGAAGATATACAGGCCTTTTCCAAAAGCTGGAATGGCTCAAACAGCTGCAGTTAGCTACTAGCTAGGGGTGCTGCCCCTACCTACACACCTTCCACAGTGCCCACAGTTCTGAGAAAAGATCAAACCAGGGTTCACCAGGAGGCTGCTCTACTTTGAAATAGGTCACTGGGTGTTGGGATCTGTGGTTTAAGCAACACATGCTTTGGGAGCTCAGAGGCAGCTGCTACTCCCTCTTCTGCTGAACGCAAGCCCATTGCTACAGCCTTAACTCCCTCAGAAGCTGCCCCCTGCCTCCCACAGGGATCCTTCAGGAGGCTGTGCTCACTGCCAAGCCCAGCTATGCTCCATCACACCTCCCGCACCACTTCATCAGCTCTGGAAACGCTCAGTGCTTCCTTCTGTCAGTACTTGTCTGTCAGGCAGGCAGTTCTGCCAAGAACCTTAAAGCAGTTGCAAAGCTCTCCCAGTTGCACATCCAAACCCTCTTAAGAAATAGCCAGAAGGTTTTGCCTAATGTAAGAGCGTAAACAAACTTGTTACATGCTAATCACCAGGTAGGCCACACACCCTTCCCCTCCCCCAGCCCTTGAATCTGCTAAAAGGACAGGAAATATAATCGTGGTCACATACCTTCGCTTCCTCGTTGATGTCCCAAGTGAAGGATATGGCATTGTAAGCAATCTCCTCGATGTTACTGATGGTGTTAAAGCTCTCCTTGTAGTCAGCTGTTAGAAAGAAGGATTCATGAGGGAGAGGAAGAAGAGATACTACGTGAAGTCCTTAATCACACAAAGCAGCCAGAAACTGCGACTCTTCAGCAAAGGAAGCCGAACTGTACTTAGGAATGGATCATTAAAAAGCCCGGAAATGGTTCTTGTACAAAACAACCCCAACAAACATGAGGAAGGAGGAAAATGGGACTTGCAGAAAGGAAGATATCCCAGATATCAGGTGTTCTGTGCCATAACCTGCTATGTGCAGGAAACTCTACCCTGCACAGCAAGGACATAAAGCTCTCAATAAACTCCTTCAATAACAAACAAAGATTTGCATGCGCGTCTGCTTTAAGTGCCAGGTGATTAATCCCTGCTTTGATTCACAGAAGGAAGGGACGACGAGTACAACCCAGCCTTCAGCCAGAGAAGGCTGGAAGTCAGCCAGCCCCAGCCTTGTCTGGAGGCAAGTGGAAATTTGCAGTGTTTTCTTTTTTCACATGTACCAAAGACCAGTTGTGAGCAAAGTTGTGGGAAGGAGGATCATTAGTGTTGAGGTACTTCTATGAGGATCTTGTCCTTTGAAGAAATACAGTATTTAGGACAGACACTGAGACTACAAGCTGCGATTTAGCTGCAAGCACCAGGATATACCAAAGCAACTGTTGTTTGAAAGAGGGTGTTAGATCTCCTAATGCAAACGTCTAAAGACCACCAACCAAAATCCTCCAAAGATCAGCTTCTTTAAGGAGTCCTAAAAACTGCATTAGCTCCAAGCAATCATAAGCTCTCTCTGGGCTTTCAGCAAACCCATGGATAGCAGAGAGTGTTCCTTAAAATAACAAAGCTTTAGCAGAAAACCAAACCTTGCCAAGGAATTAGGCATGAAGTTTGACATCAGCAATGAGAGTGTTCCTTACCTATGTCAATGCATCTTTGTTTGGCCGTGTGCTGTCTTGAGTGCCAGTATTTCCAGTGCCTGAGCTGATCTTCCCTTGTTTTGTCTTCAGCAAACACGACCATAATGACACTCTGAAAGGAGAGGGAGAGAAAGATTAAAAAAAATAAATAACAAAAATGTGAAAGATAAAAGGCCAGAGAGTACATTTGTTTTGGAAGTTCTCATTGGTATCAGGTTTTCTGCTTTAGGCTTTCCCACTTGAGGCATCACAGTGTACCTGCCACACTGTTGCCAAACTGGAAGGCAGACAGCATCACTTTCTGGGTCATCAACAGAGCAGAGCTGCTCTCCTAACTAGAATTCAAGGATCTCATTCCAGGTGTTGCATCACCTTTACACAAGTGCTGACACCACTTCTTAACAGACTGAGCCAGGATGGGCTGGTGTGGAAGTAGGTGGACAGCAAAGGAACGAACGCTGACGTAAGAGCGCGGGTAAGCTGGCCTTAGTGCTAATGCTCTAGTTTAGATTACTGCACTTTGGGAGAGTTTAAGGCCACCACTGTACACACCCTCTTTCCCAAGAAACCACAAAAGCTGCCACTCACTCGGACTTTACTGATGGGGTGATGGATTCCTTCACTGCTGCTGACTTCTTTCAGCGTGATGGGGTAAAATTGACCTTTGTTCAAGTAGGTCATTGTGCTGTCCCCAGGCTTCTGTCGGAGGGACTTGGAAGCTTCCAGAGTGTATTCGAAGTTATTCCTATAGAGCAAAGAGGGTAGTGATTGCTAAGGCATTTTCCTGGAAAGCCGACTAAACATTCCACATTTAATTTGGAGAAATTCCAAAGTCGTTAGTTGACTCACTAAGCCATCAACAGGCAAGGAAGTTGGAAAACAGGATGAGCCCCTTTTTCAATCATTTCCTTCATGAATGAACATTTAAGAGAAGTTCTTGGCAAGCTAAATCCCAAGACACATCAGCAGGCAAGACTGGAAGGTCCCTATTCAGGCTGAGAGCAGCAAGCTGCTTTCACAGAACAGAAAAGTATCTATTAGCAATTTAATTAAATTCACAAGCTAATAAGCTATTCGGTGGCCATGGCCCTCTTGGTCAACTGCAACTAATCAAATAACTAATTTGCTCCCCTTCCTTGGAATTCAGATGAGTTCCTATTTCTGCTGTAGATTTCCAGCAGAGAGAGAATAAGACAAGCTGACCAGGGAGAGGGACACAGCTGGAAGCAAACTCCCAGACCACCAAAAAGCTGACAGACAGCACTGCACCTTCCCAGGGGACAGGGCACTGGTGCAAGGTCAGTGACCGAAGCTGGGTGTATTTCCAACCCTGCAAGTAGTTTTCCTGAAAGTAGTTTTCTTTAAAGACAAAGGTAGGATTTTCAGCTGTGAAATTCAGATGAGCAGACGCTGTTGTGGTTTTGAGATCCACAGCACCTCCAGTATCTAACAGACTTAGTGCAGAATGGCATGAGCTGTACCGTTTGCTTGTGGACAACTGTAAGAGAATGGGAAGATACGGGCAAATGGGGGCCTTAAAGCATTACCCAGAAATGCTGTCAAAAACATAATCTTCTGAATTCATGTTGGCCATTCGCAGATTCAGTTCGGTAGGAAAGAAAACCTGGGGTAGACACAAAACAAAACACAACAATTAACACAACAGCAACAAGAAAAGTCAAGATTAAACCGATACTCATTACCACAGAACTTCTGGCAAGCAAATTGATCATCAGATAACACCTGATTTTTGGTCTGTACAAACAGGACACTTGAGCAGTGTTTTAATCCAAAACTTCTGGGTGTCAGCTAAGAACAACATCTGACAAGCCTTCTGAGTCAGCTTAGGGCAACATTTTAAAGCTTTCCCAAATCTCAAAGAAAGGGCATAGCTACATAGCTCTTTAAGGTTTGGCTTAAAAATCAAACAACACTACTGTTGTTTTCAGTTGGTACCATAAAACAAACCCCACAGATTTTCAGCCATGTTTAACTCTCACTCAAGGCCTCTACATAATCCAACTGTTTTCCACTGATACACACCACACCTAGAAACTGGCAGTAAGGAAGCTTACAGACATAGTCACTTCAGTTTGGTACCTGCAAAGGCACCACGGAGTGATAAACTCTTGCAAAACCTGGCTCAGTGCTGTGGATCGAGATAACCATTTCCACAGTATGCAAGCCAAAGCCTCTGTCACTGGTAAGATTAGTCATTTGCTTTTGATAATAATTTCACGTCGTGAAGGTTTTAAGTTATACTTATGCACTTTTCTGAGAAAGTCTTCTATTCCTAAACCACTGGACAGATTTCTGATTCATGTAACAAGAACAGTTAAAGGTGGAACTGGATCTCTCCATCCAGATCAAGACACGTGCAGGCACACACACACAGACATACACAGGGCAACTGCCTCTCTTGGTACCTCTTGCACGCCCTCCTTGAAAGTCTCCGAGAAGGTGGAGTCTGGTGTGCGCCTCTGGGAGTTTTGGGGCTGGGTGTTGGAACTGAACTGGTCAGGATTGAGGTTCCTGTCAAAGACCACCACTCGCTCAGGGGGCTCGGGGTGGTAGACACTCGGTGGGATGCCCACGGCAAAGCCGTGGGGCTGCGTCTCCGTTTTGATGGAATGGGTGGGCATCGTGGCAATCGAAACGGTGACTGTTGTGTCAGGGGTTGTGAGGTGGCCTCGCTTGTCCATGCCCATCTGGGGCGTGTGTGGAAGGACAATATTGAAAGGCACATTTTTCAGAACCTGGACTCTGTTTTCTCCAGCAGAAATGAGCGATTGTTCTGTCACATTTGGGATGCTGTTCCTAAAAAGGGCAAAAAGAAATCATGCATAAGTTATACAGCTTATTTTCTCATTAAGCAACAGCTAGAAATACTTCTCGGCCTTTTAGACAAGGATATCTGACACCAACTCTCCTGCTTGTGCAGAACAGCTCAATCCTAATCTGAAAAGCTGATAAACACATGAAAAACCAAAAACTCCTCACCCACTGCTAACCAGCCCACCTTGGAGATGAATTACCCTGGAGCAAAGGGTGAGGGTTCACAGCCCAGATCCTCACTGCTTGGAAAACAGCAGTCCAAAACTAAGTGCTTCGAGGCCCTTCCCACCATGCATCAGCACACAAGGCTCCATGGAACTGCTCTTTGGCAGACAGAGAAGGACTGAGAGCAAGGTTGCTGCTTCTCTGCCCCAGGACTGCACACCACTCGAGAAGCACTAATAGGGAAATTACACCCCTCTCTCATGCACAAACCCCCAGGAAAATCCACACTGAGACTCCTGGGAGTGGTTTGCATAACTTGCCGCTCTCCACCCCACCACACTCATTTCTGCCAGGACAACACTGAGATCTGTGGCTGAGCTGACCTCACAGCTAGTAGCCACTAACTCAGCCTGCCCTCCCTTTCTCCCTCCCCACAAAGTGGTCCTGCCTGCTCCCTTGCACCAATTCTGATGCTCCCCTGCTTCCCTGATGAACCCGTTCAGCTTGTTCTGCTGGAACAAGCCACCTTTTTTTCCCTGTTTGGCGATGGGTCAGTGTAAGACCAGAGCTGGTACAAGGGGAGCAGTGGGAACCAGATTGCTCTTCTAAACAACAGGGTATTCAATCAGCTCAGCCAGATCACAAAACCTCACCTTGGGTCCTTAAAGCATTCTAATCTGTCCAAAAAAAGAGGATGGTAGAAGTGGAAGCCTGGCTTGAGTGAATCTCACATTGGTACTATTCACTTAATATCATCTTCTGCTTGAGAGGGAGGGCAGGAAGGGGAAGAAAGAAAGGAGTTCCAGCGGATACAAAGGAAGTCCAAGCAATACCAACCCAAAACTAAACCACAAACACTTTGAAGTCCTTCCCTACCAGCCCAATGCATGAAACAGCAATGCTGCTGGTACCTGAGAGCAACATCTGCAGAGAGTAACTGAAGTAACCTCATGCAAAAATAAAAGGGTCACCAGCGATCTCCACAGCCTGGGGAAGGGGTGTGCTGTAGCCTGAGCTACCAGACTGTGTCTAATGTTAGAGAGAGCAGCTTTTGCTATGCTGACTGTGTGACACTAGGACACAGAAAGCAGATGGATGGCAACAAGAAGCAGTTTGAGCCTCAGCTCTCCACACTGTTCTCCAGTCCCCATCCTGTTCCTGGGACAACACAGGAATTTGAGGCACAGAGTAAAAGCAAACAATCTGTCTCTTCCAGCACAACACAACAGCGCAGCAAGTTACTTTCTTTCAGCAGCTTTGGTGGTCTAGGAGGGAAGGGAGTTAAGCAGAGAAGCAATAATAAAAAATAATACCTTTTGCTATGATCTTGTTCTGGATGTTCTACCTCTGGTTTAGCTGTTGAAGATCTCCTCTCCCTTGGAACCTGGGAAATTTAAGACATATTATAATTCAATTCTTACTCCCATTAAAAAAAAACACCTCCTTAAAACAGAGCCTTTTGGTCAAATTATGAAAGTGTAACTCTCTGATGGCCAGTCATTATTAACATTACCACCTGACCAGTATTCTCAGGGTTTGGGGATGCCAGGCCCATCCCAGGAGATGCCCCATGGATCCCCTTGCAGCTGACTTGGTCAGCTGTGTCAGCCCTGGGCTCCTGTCAGCACCAGGTGGTGGGAAAACCAGTGCAGAAAGCCATCCATCCTTGGCTGGAGCATCAGCACCAGAGTGAGCAGGACCAGGAGATTTCCCAAGGTTTGTGCTTGCAGTGCAGGATTACTCCTCTGCAGGCTGGCAGAGTTCAGTTTGCTGGATGAACTCAAAGCTTGTGAAAGGACATTGCTCCATAGCCACTTCCCCAGGAACACATGCTCTCTAGGCCATCCTGCTAAGACCACTTGAGGCTCTCCTTTCTTCTTGGACACCAGGGGATTTGTGGAGGACCAGGTCCAATAAGCATATTGAGATGTTACAGCTCATATTTGTGCATGGCCACACACAACACACTGGCCCAAGCTATACTAAATATTTTATAAACAAAAGGTAACAACCAGTTCTCTGGATTTAAGACAGCTCAATACTGCTCCTCATATTTTATGCCACGGACACGATTTGCCCTGAAAACACAAACACCGATCACACAAGTAACCTCATCCATACATATGCACACCCATTTTCCTGACTGCCCTGCAAGGCCAAGGCACACAGACCATGAACTCTTGGAGCTGTGGTGGCTCAGTTTCTTGCACGGAGCACACAGCCAGTGCCTCAGCAACCCAAACAGCTCTTGCAACCACTGGCACAAGCCCTGGTGCTCAGGTCCCCTCAGCCACACAGCAAGTCCACACAAGCTCCCCTGCCAACCCACACGTAGGGCCCAGGACTTTTGCCACCCTCAACACGCCTCCTGAACAAGGAAAGCAAACACCTTCTGGTGTATGGACAAGTGAACTCTCACCACTCTCCTTTGCTAAAGCCTGTTCAGATCCTGCCTCTGTTTGCCAGCTTGGGTCCAGCATGGAGAATTACCACTTTAGTGCTAACTCAAAGGCTGATGGAATAGCTGCATGAACAGCATACTATTTTAAACAGTCCCCGAGTGAAAACTAAGTCCTCATTCTTCTACATAACCATGAATCTCCAATAACACCAGAATTCTCAGATTTTCTGTGGTAACCAGCAAAATTTGGAGAATATCTAGCTGGAGACTGCTGGGAGACCAGCACTAGCTAGTCTGAAAAACAAGGGTCTTTCAAGCTGCATTTGGCCAGTGCTCCCAAATAATAGATTTTTCTCAAAATGTGTTGCCTATAAGGCCTTATTAACCACAGTTGAGCAATCAAGGTAACCCAGTAGTCAAATGGAAGGAAATGAAAGTTGTTTAGTTTTGCTGATTTGGGTTTTTTTTTTTTTAATACAAAAGTGATCTCATCATCTGCCTTTAATATTGCAGAGGAGGTGTACTAGAACTGCCTAGACATCATCTCTCCAACATTACTCCATAACAGCCCACAATAAATCTTTCAACCTCTAACTATTTTGCTTCACCCAGGTGTGCAGCATACCTGTTCTTCCACTGATTTTTTTCTGTACACCCACTGATACCCAAACATAAGAGGAAACCCTGAATTAGGCATTTATGTACAGCAAATCTCTTCTGCTTTGCTGAGCATGAAGGATCAACATCAACGTTCCTTTTGTAATCTACAGGTTTAGAGATCAAAATTGATTTTGTGGATTAAAATTGTTCCAGTGAAAGCATGTTGTTGTTTCTTCTTTTTTTTTCCCCCAAAAGCATAGCAAGCACAGGCACAAAGCAGAAAGCCAGTTTTCTCACAAAACTAGCTGAATAACATCCACATCAGTGAGTCTGTGGCATTCTGTCGTGTGTGTGTGTGGAGCGTTAATCTCCATATTAAGCATTACAAGAATATTTTGATACATAAGATGTGTTCAACTTTTCAAAAGGGCAGGCAAGGATTTTGTCTGCACCAGGCAACCTCTCCTTGCGCTTGAAGAACACACTGAGGCTGGCAACTCCACTCACTACTGCTGAAAGCACTAGCCAAAATGCCAGGCACGAGAGCCAAGTCAGACTCCTGCACGCTCAGCAAAGAAAAAACAGGCATCTCCACCCAGTAAGCCAGGCCACCATAACACAGGTGTCTTAACACAAGCAGGACCCCTCCCTGCCTGGAAATGCCTGTTGGTCTCTTCTGACCTGGACCGGAGACAACTACCCTGGCTTATACTTTTGGTATTTAGGAAAGAAAGCTCAGCAAAATGCACCCCATGCAGACCAGAATCTGTTTGACCACTTAATTCAGCTGTGAGCAACTAGGAAGGCACATGTCTCCAAGAAGACCATGAACACTGGGGAAGAGAACCACAATGGCCAAAGGATTAACAGATTACAGCAGCTGAAGCTCACTGAGGGTTAGAGAGATGAAGATAGCAACTCCTTCAGGTGGACACTTCTGCCTCACACACCACCCAAAATCTGTAGTTATAGCTTAGTATCAGCTGAGACTAAGGTAACACAACAAAGCCCCAGCCAAAGCCAATGGTCCACCACATGAGCAAAAGAAGAGAAGTTTCGTTCTCCATGTATATTTACATTCAGACAGGGATATGGTACCAAAGTGTCATTCTTCATGACTCTTTCTATAACTCACTGCCTTCTGCAGAGCCCAGGGTCAAGAGGCAAGGAAAGTGCTGTGGAAGCTGAAAAGCAGCAAAGTGCTACCAAACCTTTACATTAAGATCCAGGGGATCTTATTTTACTGAGCTAAAAATAAACCACATTTCAGAAAGAGAGATGTGGAATTTTTTCCCTTTGAAAACCACATCGTTTAAAGTCCTCATGATCTATTCATAGATTCTGTAAAATCCTCTAGCAAATGACACCTTTCCTACAAGTGGAACAAGAGCTCCTCCGGCTGCCAGAGCGTACCCACGCCAATCTACCTTGTAGTAATCATACAGCAGTCCCAGGGCAGCCGCGCTGTCTTCATCCCCATTGATGCTCATCATAGCTTTGGTAGCTGCTGTAAGGGGATTTTCAAGAAAGGTTTTCCAGGCCTCATCTTCATTGGTGTAAGGACGTCTCTGAGAGTAGAGAGAATCATTCTGAAGAACCAACACGGGTCTTTTACTTGAATCATAAAAAAAAAGAAGAAATAAAAAAAGCCACCTGTTAGAACACATGAAAAACATTCTGTAAATTCTTCAAAATAAGCTGCCCCAGTTTCACAGGGTTCACACTCTGATTCAGTGTACTAAAAGGATTAGTCAACACAAAAAGCCCAGAAACCTAATTCTGATCTCACTCATGCTCGGTGTAAATCAGGATTAATTTGACCAAACTCAGATGGATTACACCAGCCTATATAAAAAGGCAAAGCCGTTTAAGACTGCACCTGACCTGCTCATGCTCTGAATCCAACCCAGAAAGAGTTACACACACACTAGCCTACCACTTACCAAGCCTCCTATGTGATACTGCCAAGATGCAACCTGTTTCAGTTACCACATGGAACTAGGAAATGTGAATTAACAAAACATCTCTTTCCTCCAGCGCTTTCAAGTGTCTAAGCTAAAAACACCACCTAGAAGCTACCCATTAGTTACAGACTATGCAGGGAAACTGGTCAAGAGAACTTGAAATCAACATAGAAGTGTTCTCCTCTGACAAGAAACCAAAAGATTTACTGCCTGGTTACCACTGAAATAATCCATGACACTAGTTTGAAACACCCTCAACAGATAAGTGAACAAAAAAAAAGAAAAAAATCCGAGTTATTCCCTTTATGTTGCAATATATAAAAAAGAAATTATTTTTACTCTGAACATTTTGAGATTGTTGAGAACGGGAAAGCTCCAACATAACTTGGACCTTCTGCCCACAGGCAAAAGCGGGACATGTGCAGAAAATGCTGTCTTGCCAGCCCAGACAACTTAGTATTTTTTTTTGTTCTATTGGTAAAATATATGCTTATTCTTCCAAGTCAGTTCAAGATAATGTTTAAATCTGAATTTTAAACCAGTTCAAACAGGTTTTTTTCTGGTGCAAGTGTAATATTAATTTACTGTAGATTGGTTGAGGGAGAAGGGGAGGCCTCTTTATTTTCTTAAATAATCCCAAAGCTGTCATCTTTAATGAACTGCTAATAGTTTAAAATAAATAAATAATTATTTAAAAACAACTAACCCCATAAAAAACAGTTCCCTACCACCATCACACGCTTTCCCTGGTAGATAAGCATTCTTTGCATCTATTTACCCAGATGCATTCAGGGACTGAAATATACTACAAGTACAAAAAGTTGTGAAACAGAAAGTTGTGAAATACCCTAATCACTATAATCAGCTTAGCAGTATCCTACATTTATCACCACCTTCTACCAAAAAGATTGCAAAGCAAATTACGCGTTCAATGCTTTATCAGTTACACAAGTCATCTTGCTGAGCTTCCATCGGACAGCTTGGCTGAGCTGAAGACACTGAAAGCAAGTGGGAGTTTCCAGGACTTGTAAGAGCACTTTCTGGCTATAAATCAGTATTATATAGTTGGCAAAAAGCAAACAATGATGACAAAGGAGACAAGCTCTTGCACCAAGCCCTTTCTTTAGGTCTTCACACATATTTGTGTACGCAACACAATGCAGATACTTCTGGTATTGAGGACATCTTTCTATCAAAGTCAGGGGAGCAGCGGAAGACAAAGCAGAATTTTCTTCAGGGACATGATACAAACTCCTATTCTTATACAATGTGATATAAGAAGCCTCCAATATCCATTGCAAATGGGTAAATCCTCCAGTTACACTCTCACAGAGAAAAAGTAACTGGAAGTAACCTGGATGCAGTTCACTTTATCCATCCCTGTAAGTTGAAGGGGTAAGAGCCTTGCTAGAACTCACAGCACTAAGCTGATTCCCTCCAGCAAAGCAACACACATGCAAAGAGAGAACCAAGAAAGAACCAAAAATACTGAGAACTAAAACAGCAACTAATCAGAAACATAGCAAATGCAAAACCTACATATTTTTGTGTGATTTCTTTGTCATTGAAACACACAAATATAATGCACATTGCCCTACAGGTAACCCACCCCGCTACAAACAATGCTGAAAAAATTATTTGCAGAATTATCAGGAGAAGTGCAGGGTTTGGCAGGAACTTAATCCTTTAGGAGAAACACAGCTTCTTTCACGAAAACAAGAATATATTAATAAGAGAAGGCAAACATATTTTTCCTAAGTTTTAAAAGATAACTGGTATGGGGATCTGCTTACAAAGTAGTAGATGCGCCCAGCAAAGGCTGGAATTAATTTTCCTACTGCAGTTTTAATAATTTCTGAATTTTATTTTCTACGTGAATGCAGTGGGAACAGAGAAATATTACAAAAAGCAGATACTCTCTCTTTGCCTGCGAGGATCCCCCAGCCCTCAACACTCTGTGTTCAGATCACAGAAACTATTCCTACTTACTTCGCTGATCCAGGATCCTGCCTTCTTCTCCCTCACCCTGCAATTTACCTGGCGACGCTCAGGGCTGCCCAGCCCGAGCCGCGCTGTAACTGCTGCTGCTCAGCGCACACCTCTAATGCTGAGGCAGCACCGAAGATTTCTTTCACGTCTCCTGCGTGCCAGAACAGCGAAGTGCACGTAACCAAACTGCTACAGCCTTATCTACTAAGTGTCACTGGAAATAAGAACACCTATGAAAAATCCTAATCACAGAGACGAGTTAGGGAGCTGCTGCACTGGAGTCCTCTTTATAGGGTAGCATACTGAAATAAAAACTTTGGTAAAAACCTATGCTTTCCCTAGGAAAGGAGTGCGTTGAGTCACAAACCATTCAAAGTATAGCAATTTTATAATCGGTTCTTCAAATCAAATCAGTTCAGAGTTACCCCATTTTCGGGCATTCAAGCGTCCACGGCCACCGTCTACAGATGGACACGGTGACAAGCGCAGGAACAGACTGGAATCTTTAAACACCGCCCGGGATCCGCTTGAAGGCGACGTCTCGCATTCAACACCACGGAGTTACAGCACACACACCTCGAGCTCAGTTTAACTCTTTCCGCACCCAGTTTCGGCTACTCCGGGGTCGCCGCAGCCGAGCTCGCCGGGAGCTCCCCTTACCTGCCGAAGTCCACCTTGCCGGAGGGATGCGCCTCATAGAAGTCCATGGGGGCCGCTGCGGCCGCCGGGCAGCGGCGCAGGGGCTCGGCCCGGTCCCTCGGCCCCAGCACAAGGGGGTCCCGGCGCTGCTCCGCGCCCGCTGCTCCGGACGGCGCGGCCGCCGCCGGTGCCGCCCGCATTTAAGGCGCGGCCCCGCGGGGCGGGGGGCGGCCCCACGCCTCGCTGCAGGGATCGGGTTTCAAAGCCGGCCCGGCCTCGCCGCTCGCCCCGCGGGGCGGGGTGGCCGCCAGGGTGGCCCCGCGGCGCCGTAGGACCCCCCTCGGGGCTCAGCCCCCCCTTCGCCCCCCGCCATTTCGCACCGCCCCACCGCAGCCTCCGGTCACTCCCCCGCAGAGAGGACGGAGGGAGGCGGACTCCGGCAGAGCGGCTCCCCCGGCCCAGCCCCGGGCGGCGAGCCCCTCTCGCCGCAGCCCCCCGGCGGGGTGGCGGCACCGGTCGGACCGGCCGCGGTGGTTCTTCCCCCGCCTGGCTCACTCACTTGTCGTAGTCCTGTGTCATGTCTGGCGGAGGCAGCGGGCGGCAGAACTGGCCGGGCGGGTCGGGAGGAGCAGCGCCGCGCACCCGCCGCTCCCACGGCTTTTGTCGGCTGCTCTCGCCCGCTCAGGTGCTCCCGCAGCCGCAGGTGGCCGCGCGCCTCGCCGCGCCCCCCATTGGCTGCTGCGGGCCGAGGGGCGGGGCCGCCGCGCCCGCATTGGGCGGCTGGGCGCGGGGGGCGGGGCCGGCGCGCGTGCGGGGCCGGGACAGCGCCGAGGGAGCGGGACGGGCGGCGGGAGAGACCCCCCGGAACGGGGTGACCGGGGGTTCCCTGGCGCCGCCCGAGAGGGGCCGTCACCCCCCGGGACCCGCCCCTGCACTGGGGCTCGCGCTGGGGGACGCGGGAAGTACTCTGGGTTCTTTCTCGCGCTAAAAATGTGTTTCCCTTCTCTCTCTCTCCCGTCCCATATAACTATTTTTTTTCATGTACTACAGCCACTTTTATGAAAATCTAAACCAAACACAATTGTATGAATTGTCTTTAATGCATATCTTAATCTGCGCGAGGGGAGATTCCGATTGAACGTTTGGGGCCATTTCTTCATAGAAAGACTGATTAGACATTGGAAGGGGCTGCCCAGGAAGGGGCTGCCCAGGGAGGTGGTGGAGTCACCGTTCCTGGAGGTGTTCAGGGAAAGACTGGACGAGGCACGCGGTGCCATGGTCTAGTTGACATGGTGGTGATTGGTCATAGGTTGGACTCAATGACCTCAGAGATCTTTTCCAACCTGATTGATTCCGTGATTCTGTGCATTTGCACAAGCACTACAGCATCTGCCGAAGGGCAGTAGATCCATGTGTCGTTTGGTGCCTTACAGATGAACCTGGCTTTGTGGAGAAAGGGAGGTTTACAATGCAGTTACTGATGCAAATGCATCGAAATCCTCCAGTTTAACACCAGCAGCAACATCCCAAACACACTAGATATATCCAAAGTGGCATGCGTGAAGTTAAATCAGAAAGATCTTCAGCTTCTCCTTGAGAAATAAGGGTGGGAGGTTGCTTGTTTAAGTAACAAGTTGAATCAAACCCATACAGCAACGATGCTATCTATCAAATGTCAAGATGCTTCTGATAGCTACTGTAATTTAAAAGTATGCTCACTAATAAGAGGTCTCTCCTTCTAGGTCAAAATCTCTTCCCTATTTGTACAGGATATACTCCAATGCAAAACTATAGAAGGACAATTCAAGCAGCCGACCGAAGGAAATATGAAACTGAAGAGAACAAACTTTAACTAAGGGTCTAATCCTGGAAGTTGCTTAATATCCTCTGACTGGATTACAACTAGCATTCTGGAAACAAAATGCTTTGTTTAGATCTGCAAACATAGCCACTAGGATGACAAAGATAAATATCATTCATTACTGAAGTAGGATCTCGCTCTACAAAGTGAAATGAACTGACGTAAATTGTTCTTTGTGACATCCAGTAAAAGGTATTCTGCATTTTTAAACAGTTTTAAAAAATCTAATTCAAGATTACATAGAAAAAAATTTCTTACCTGTCCTCACATATGAAAAAAATACTATAATCTGATGAAGATGTCAGAAAGTTACATTTTTCCAAACAAGTATAACTCGCTTTGCTTCCAAAACAAATTACAAAACTAGCTCCAAATCACAAGCTCTGGGAAGGACTGCTGACTTTGTCAGGTGTCATTCAGTCCTCACATTCCCTGCGTCTGTTCATAGAATTCTGGGATATGCAGACACAATCACTGCTTTTTGGCACAGGTGCAAACTTTTCATTAACAATAAAATATAATACTGCCCTGTAGCCGTAGGTGACCCAGACGCAGTATGTGCTGGAGTTCAGTCACATGTTTACATTGCACCCAAATTGCTAAAATCTTAGTAACGTGCCACACTTGGTATTCCTACTTAATTCGAGTTTACTATGATTTTATTCCAAGTAACTGAAAGCTGTTTGCTTTTGCAAAAGGGATGGCTTTTCTTAACAGCCTGATACACCGATGAAAACTTGGTTATCGCCATAGCAATCACTTCCACATTCAGGAGACAATGATATAAACACCGGATTGTGACACCACTGACTAATCTGCCGGTCACAATCTAGACTCTGCAACACCACTGGTAGGTGTATTTATGTGATGTCACTAACTGGGTTGCATCATCACCAAGTAAAATCAGGCAAGAAGCACAAAGGGATTTAGCAGAGCTTTGGCTGGGGCATAAAGCCATGCCAGCCTGGTGTGGCAGCGCTCTGGCAGGACTCCCCTTGCTCTGCACTGGTTGGTGTTCCCTACAACTTCTTCCCTCGCTCAGCCTTTTCACCTCAGTCGCACTGCTCCTCTCCACCTTTCACGTCCTTCCCTTTACCTTTCCTTCTGCCTCTGTCCTGCCTTCAGCATTCTCCTTCCCTTCTTCACGCGTTCATTTCCTTTTAAACGAATTCCACTAAAAACACGTAAGGAACCTCACCGTAATTGTACGGCATTGGAAGCCATCTGGCCGAGCACTGTCTCGTTCACGCTTGCGCCTCTTCCTAGACTGTCTTTGGACATTGCCATCTAGAAAAACTGGGATTTATTCTGGACAAGAGTTAGCTACTGTTATGACTTACTTAACAAATATGGGTTTAAAATCTCATACCTGATAATTACCATCTATGCGCACTGGTCATTCACACCTGTGTAATAAACAAACAAGTTGCATCAGGTTTGTAGCAGTATTTTTGATTTCACAAAATGTGCCAGAGAGTCAAAACAAGATACTTTCTGCTTAATCTAAGCCCGTAAGATACAAGGGCCAGGCTTCAGAGTTGGCTGTAAAGAGCAGCAAAGCTTCTATACCCTCCATTACACACCATGCTTTCCTTCTCTGCAACAGGCCTGTGGTCGCTAAGGGTAGAGCTGGAAAAGTGAGCCCAAAGCTGATTGCTGATCCCTGGAGAATAAACCTGAAGGCATCAAAGGGCTTAAAAAGAAAAAAAAAAGAAAAGCCCAGGCAGAGTTTTCTTGAACTCACTAGAAACTGAAGTGAAAGCAGGCATAGTGGAAAGGAATAGACAAGTGACAGCAGAAAACGAAGCAGGAAATGCCTTGTAGGAAAGAGATGGAAAAGCTGGGGGTGGGGGGAAGGATGAAGAAATAAATGAAAGCGCAATGCGTGAAATATGGAACAGTTTGCTTTTCACTTCAGTCATATCCCTGTATGCAATCTTGCAGACATTCCTTAAAGATTCCCCTTTTGATTCTGTACTTATCTCTAAAGATAATGTTGGAAGCATACAGACGATTCAGGGACAGGAAATGCAGTTCCATCAGCCGGACTAAGGACACTCTGAAATTACTACAATGTAAATTAATCAATTTTGCAGCAGCCTATATATTTAAAAAAGTCAGCCTGAAACCTGAAGTTTTATTGACGATAAAATCTTTAGCATGTCATCCAGACTCACTGAGCATTTATTGTCTTTACTCAGCACTGCACCTTCTCCAGGACTGACTGCTGCGTCCATCGGTCTTGCCACATGGGCTGACACTGGTGTAGCAAGAGAGCAGCATGTGCAGGTCCTTCACTGCACACTGTGCCCTGCCCTGATACGCTTTGCTCTGCAGCACGGAAACCACCCAGCTGCCCAGTCAGGAGTTACAAATGCCCCGGGTCCCAGTTCAGCAAATAAAAATGGTTTGCTACAATTTTATACCGACACAGCATGACAGAAGCATCCCAGCATCCAGACCAAGCTCTAAGATCACAACACAGGCACTGAACACACTCAGTGGCATTGCCACGACGCAATGGCAAGGGCTGCAGCCACTGCTGGGGCAACAGGGTGGTCTATGAGCAGGCACAGAATGCTTCTAGAATAGAGAGCAGCCATGTGAGACTTAGAAGAAAATACAAGCCCATTCTTCTGGTACAATACCTGATGTACTGCTGGAGGCAGAGTGCAGATGCTGAGGACTGGGGAGGTGTGTTCTGGCTCTGGAAATGTTGCCATTAACGGTTGTACAAGGGCAGCAATAGCCTCACGTGAGGACACAAGCATCCATCTCCTGTTCTGCTAATCCTTACTCTTGTTCACTGTTTCAGCAACATCCTAGCAGAAACAGCAGTGAAAGGTCTTTCCCATATGCCTATTTCCACTCTTGGCATCCCCTTTATGCTCTCCCTCATCTAATCTGGCCAGGAAACAAGGAGCTTCACACATGAGGAGCAACAAAAACAGTAACTGTGGAGGAGATGCTGCAAAGAAAGCATCCTGCATGCAGCGAGAGACGCTGCTTTGACCAATCCACACACTAACATGCTCAGCCAGGAAATATGTGCTGGGAAGCCCATTTCATTTTGGATCAAAATATGAGACTCATTACGCAGTCATCCTGACTTTTCTTTGTCTGTGAAGCAGAATAAAACTGACATGGGGAAAGGACAGATGAACTAAGGGCAGACACCTTAGTCAGGGATTTAACATTTTCAGACTTTATCTGTTCCAAAGGCCCTGTGGGTGCTGGTTCTTTTGCTCCTGACCCTGCAAAAGCATTCTCTTGACAATTTACCACAAATATCCTGAAATAATTTTTTATTCAGATCAAGCTAAAGTCTTTTTTGTTCATAAAGGGAGAAAAGTCATTCGAGGAAGGAACTTGTGAGCTTTCCAAGAAGTTATGATATTCATTGCCTGGCCTGCAATACTGCACGAAACTCTCTCAAATCTTCTAAACACTATTTGTGTTTCAGGGTTTGTGCTAAAGATGGATTAGGAAAGATGTAATTGCAGTGAAGCCCATGCAACTCACTATGGCCAATAAATTAGACTAACATTGGTTGCAGGCATTGGACTTTGCTGATTCTCATTCTCTGGTTAAATCAGGTTCAGGGCCTTCACTCTGTGTAAGAAGTTAAGGGGAAAGTCAAACACCTCTCCTTCATGTCTGGAAAACAGTAAAAACTTTAAAAACAAAAATGTATTTGACCGAGACTAAGTTGGTATTGAGAACGCAGACATACTGAGGTAGTGAAAGACTAGAAAGGGTAAAATACAAGGTCTGCTGAAGGCTATAACTTTAAAAAAAAAAATGAGACGTCTGTCATATTTCTCCACTGGAACAACAGAAAGGTTGCATTATTTAGGAGAATTCATAAAGCAAATTTACTTTTGTACTCTTAAAGACAGAAAAAAACTGTGTTAAAATATAACATTCAAACTAGCAAAACAACTAAATTCACTTTAGAAGATACATAAAGGTCTTAGAATAACTGATTTGCTACTGTCTAAGTTAATTATTAAGTCTTCTCAATATATACTGTTTCAAAAGTTTAGTCTAAAAAACACTTGCCTTTATCTACATACTTAAGAACCATCTGTCATTCAAGTTTTAGAGTAAGAAACAAAACACGGTGACCCTCTTTACTCAGCATTTCCAGAGGAGTAAGTACAAAAAAATAACCAGCAGAAAACTGAGCTTTACCTGGACACTTTCAGCAAATAGTTACAGAAAGGAGCTTTAATTTCAAAATGGATAGAAGAGGTGGTTGGAAGTGCTGTGCTGTGCAGACACCCCACCCTTCAGCTATCCACAGGCAGCTGTCTGTTCCACCAGCTTGGCTCCTCCTTTGGGCTGTATTAACTGGACCCAGAGTAGCTGTCCCAAGAGAGCTCAACTACACTGAAGAAAAGGCACTCCTGTGGCTCAATAGCTTCTTAAACATCATTACTCCAATGTAAGTGTTGATTGATTAAACTGTATAGAACTAACATTAAGCATTTTTGGGGCACACCCTTTATTTTAAACCTGACTCTTAAACCTATGTGTCCAGAAGGCACATGGCTCTTGATGATTAACTACAAGCTTTATTCCAGTTTATTAAAGTACAGCCTTAATTTAGCCTAACATCTAAGGGAGCTTTCTTACGTTCGTAACAATGTAACAATGAGCACAGTATTTTTAATTTATGAAGCTCAGATTTTACTACTACAGTAGTTTTAAAAGAAAGGTATACCTATAATTAAGTGCATAAGTCTTTCAAATAACGACTTCTGAATTAAATTAATCCTTTATGTATAACAAGGTGTCTTTTAAATAGTTAATTCAAAACTTTAACAGATATTACAGTAAAAAGCATGAGACAGTCGCTTGAGCAAGCAGTGTTGAAAACAGTGTATTATACTTCTGTAGATTTTTAACCTATACAAATACTCGTCTAGAAAAAGATCAATGAATAATCTTACCAAATACTTACGGACTTCAGTAATTCACTCAGGTGAGGTCAAACATAATAGATAATGGCTAATTTTAAAACACAAACACCAGACACAAGATGAGATTTAAACTGGTATGTTCCAAGTCCACTAAGGTAAACATCAGTTCAAGACACACCTCACCAGAAGTCTGAGGTATCTGGCACAGACTTAGACGTACTAAACTGTACCCACTTATGAAATCTCTAAAATACACCAAGTAACAATTCAGTCTGCTCTTTCCTCTTCCTCTATCAAGCACGGTTTAGCTCTGTATGGCTAAAACTATGCCTTCTCATCTGCATGTTACAGTCACTTTATAGGACCACTGCTCTAAATCCCTGTGCTAAAATAACTAATTAAAATACCTGAAAAAGTAAAAACTTGCATCCAAACTGTGTCTTGTCTGTCACCTCAAGTCAGGACACCATTCTTAATTGCCTCCTGCCTCTACTGAGTCAGCAGAGCCTCCTGGTTTGCCAGTATTTCCATGTAACTCTTTAAAACTTGCCTTTAATAGTCTTGTCTGCTCTACCTGTGCTTGAAATACTACTTTATCACTTAGCTCCAGACAGGTAGGGCAGCACATCACCTCTTTTATCATTCACCTGTTCCCAGCTTTTAAACAACAGCTTCATGGACTGAACTGCAACAGATTTGAAACTCTTCGCAGTCTACTTGCTAAACTCATTACCTTCCCAGATTACATCTCACTGACGTGCTTGCTCAGGGAGGAAGCTATTACTCTTTGTGAAGTCTGCAGGCACCATTTTTCTTAGTTATAATAATACTTAGAAACAGCTGTTGATTTCGGTTTTGATCAAATAGATTTGGCAAGTTTCTGTAGTCTATACTGGTGGTTGGAGTTGCTGAATTTAATTTCATTCAACTGAAAGCAGCAGTGTTCATTTGGGTATCTATACAACATCCCAGTTCAACGTATGTTATGGTGTCTTTCATGTACTGGCAGCGCCCAACTTCATTTACACGTCATCTGGGACAGCATAAAAACACGGTGCATAAATAAGACGGAGCATAAAAAACTGGTAGAATGGACAAGGCACAACCTGCTGAAGATGCTGGGCTATAAAGCAGTCAGAAGTTGTTCAAGGCTATGACAGTAGCCTTGCAAAGGAAGAACAAGAGGAGGACTTGGCAGTTACCATTGCCCAAGAAATAGGATGGGATTTTATACCAGGTATAAAAGTATCTACAAAATCTGTGATGCCTGAAGTGGAACATAGACCTGAAAGGTGCTAACTTGAATGAGAGGCTCAGCCATAAGAAGACACTGGAAGATATGCAAGGATGCAAGGAAATGTAGAAAACAGTGCCAGAGTTGTTCCAGAACAGCCTGTTTAGAAATAATGACTAAAAAGTAATGTGAAAGCATCAACTAACTGCTCCTTTTATTTGTTAACATAGTATTTAAAAACAAAACAAACATTATTTTTTAGAAATACATTTAATGTCATACAATGGTAGGTAAAAAAATAGATATTTTAATTGCAAAATCTCACAATAATTAGATGCTAACATGCTGTCCAGTATACTCCAAGTATGTACAACTTATGCCCCAAAAAATGGTTATTTCACAGCCTTCTGTTCACTCTGATGCAAAGTAATGAAATAAATGGTGATTAACAGTTTCCTTGGCAGTTTCCTTTCACAGCTGGATAAACATGACTTAAATTATAGATAAAATGACATTAAAACTAAAGTACAGTAGTAGATCTCAGCACTACTATCTTAACAAAAAATTTCCATGTTGACAAAATAATCAGTATAAGTTTAGATGTAATACCATGGTTTGGGATCCAACCAACTAATTTACATGGGTTTAATACTGGGAGTTTTAAGCCACTTTTACTTCCTTAGGACTGTGTTGTATTTTAGCTTTTTATAGAGCTTTTTATTAAAAAGTTTGTGTTCTATCATACACACCTCATCATGGATATAAGAGGGCTGAATCCTCAGAAGAAAGGAAAATAACCTTAATACAAAATGGTAACTCTGGGGAAAGTCCTCTTCTCTGTAATGAGCCAGATGACCACACAGTCTGAAAAGAAATGGGGGGGGGAAAGGAAAAAAAGCCCTAAATTACAAGTGCATTTAGTTAGTATTTAGCTGCATTTATATATTTAATTGTAATTAGAAGCAAACTCTACATTTTACCAACAGCATAAATCATAACTGTAGTTTACAATGTCAATTCTGCGAAGTGATCTGCTCCTGCAAAACCCTGAAGAAGAGGACTGGACCGAGACACGTTCAGAGCTGGTGCAAAGTAAGAAGGAAAAGCCTGCATAGCTTCTCACATTATGAATCACAATCTTGCTCAACCAGGCAAAGAATATGTTCTTTGCCTTTTGGGACTAAATGGAACCACTGTTTGTTCTGCCAGCTTTAAGCAAATGTAGCAAAGTATGAAAATGGCTACCTCACCCTATTTTTAAAATTTCTAAGACTGTCCAATTCAGACACCCCAGGCTCTTTACTCTGTTCTTTGCATACTCTCTCCGTAGGGTTCCCCTCTCATCTTCCTAACACTATGTCATGGGATAATAACCCATTCATTTATTGTCCTTTGTGTGCTAAATACAAATTGCTTGTCTAGAAACAAGAGAGAAAAGTTAAGTCAATGGAGTAACACAGGAAATATAGAAGCAAACATTGACCAGCTCAACAGAGAGTAATTAGTGCTGGAGCAGCCTTCTGCTTAATTACTTTGCAGCTTTCGTGGTGAAAATGTTAATGAAAATGATGAGGTGATTTTATTGATGAAGTATAAAATGAAAATAGCAGACTGCACCTGCTGGTAACAACTGTCAGACTGAACAAAAGATGGCACAGAGGATAAACTGCAAAGATAGCTCTGTAAACATTAAGTTCAGCAGCTTAGGTTGGAAAAATACCCTCTTCTGAGTAAGTCTCAAAATTGTTTTTAATAAAAGTGGTAAGTTTAAAATACTATAAAATCTAGCTGCTTCAATTTTGGAAAAAAAATACTACACACTGATATGGGGATTCAGGTGCTATGCACCATATAAACCCTATGCATCTCCTAACTTACTGGGTATTGCCTTGGGATGTGAAGAAGCACAGTTTAAAATTTTCCCTGTCTTTGATTCAGAGCAGCTGTCTTAAATATTCACCAGAACAAGGACTGGGATCTGTCTGTCCCAATTTACAGGTAAGTGTGCTAATTACTAGACTATAGAGCCATTTGCTCGCTCCCTCTGGCCCAGCAAACATTTACATTTTACCTCAAACCGGAGGAACAGACAGACCCATCCCGAGTGCCACAGAAGCCACACTTCAAGGAGTAGAGTCTTTGTTCAAAGCCTCCCGAAGTCTGGCAGATTGGAAATCTGAAACTAGGTCTCTCACACTAATGTATATCCCATTCTCTGCCCTACCTTACACTCCCCAAAAGCATTACAACATTTTTCACACATTGTAATACCTCATCGCATACAGAATCAGAATAATTTAGGTTGGAAAAGACTGTTAGGATTATTGAGTGCAAGTCCTGTCACTTAAAGACTTCCACAGAAAAACAGTTTAGAATCCAGTTTAAAATGGAAAGTTTTAAAATAAAAGGAATTGTAAAAGCATTTCAGCAACCATTTGACTGATCTCAGTTTTGCTGACACTGTAATCACACTTCAGTCCTAGGATTAAAACATTTCAGTAGTCCCAGTTAGGCCATGTTGATTTTTGGGGAAAGAGAATTTCTAAGTTTGTTTTCAGTTCTACTATACATACACACACTTGCATAGGATAAACCCTTATATCTGAGGGAATAGATGTTGTTTTCCAATGTTAAGTAAGTGTCAGATGTATAATTAACTACTTGCATTGCAAATGATATAATGGGAAATTTAACTGGTAAGAATTTAAATTCAAATCCTGTTTTATGAAGGCTATGACAGTTTGCCATTAACATTTTCATATATTACATATGAAAATGTAGGCTTAAAAACAGACTTTGCATGCAAGATTATTCACACAAACATACACCAAAATATCCACTCATTCAATGCTTACATAAGATTTACTCAAATCCGTGGTAAAAGGATTATTACCTATACTCCCTTAAAAAAAATAAAAAAAGTTTCTTATTCATACAAAAGAATGAATCTATAGAACCAAAGCTCTTGTAAGGTAACACTGTGCTTGCATTATTCCAACCTATTTCTGTCACGATGGATATGTGAAAAGTAACGTGAAAAGGAAAATAAAGATAAGGAAATAAATCCACAGAAAGACAGAAAAACTGCATTCATGGAAAAACTACTTATTTTAAAGGGGAATATCTAATACTTGAAAAATCCAGAACATATCACTAAGACTGTGTTGGGGCTATTGATCTCTGAAGAACACCATTTAGAAGTATATACAGATAAAGATTTAAGATGTTATTCAATAGACTAATGAAATCTCATTTTACATGAATGTAACTCAACCTCTTTTCCAAAAAAATGCCCTCCAATTACACACATGAGAAATTCAGGAGATTCCAAGCCATCTACGGAGTTCATCTTTTCCCCTCATAATCACCAGTACATTCCTCTTCTGGATTAGGGTTTCATGATACAACCAATGGCAGAACCAAAGTCTATGATCCAGAAGCCATATGTACTTTACCCAGGGAACTTATGAGAAACACTATTTTAGATATTTCCTATTCCTCGGAGTAAATACTGCCAAAGTCCTACAGAGCTTTTGATGTCTGTCTCTGGCCATTGTCAGCACCCTTCAAGTAGAAAACTCACCAATTTTTGCTGAATGTGAAGAGAGAAGGTATTAAAGGAAGAGCGAGATGTATGACACACATCAGGCAGATACTTAAATATCCATATAACTTAGTACAAGACTGGATTAGCTGGACTATCATTCTCCTTGCTATTTAGGTCCTCTGAAGAAAATAATTTTACTAACAAATAGCTGTTTTGATATACACTTAATTGAAAGAAAAATTTTCCTTTCACTTGTAAAGGCAGGATTTGGGAACAGTTCTCCAGTAAAGACAGACGCTAAACTTCCTGAATAGAACAAAATATTTTCTTTTCTCACGTTTTGTCTTTTTCACTTTTCCAGTAAATGAAGTGTCTTCTTTTACTTTTCTCCGTGCAAATAATACAACTGATGATTGCTGATACACTTAGATGAAACAGTGGTAAAGACCTTTTCACTTATAATTATTTTTTTAAAAATATGTTCTGGAGGCATTAATTGCCTGCTTATTAACTTATTAACTCCTGTTAATTTTAACTTTGACTTTGATTAAGGACAACAGAAAAGTTGTATAGTGACTTAGAAAATCAATTTCCTATGCTTTTTTGGAAGCTGGGGACAGAGGAATGGAACCATTTTCCCATTCTTTGGAGAGCTGTGGCGCAATTTTTTTCTAAAATACTATGGAGAAGTGAAGTGAGTTAATCTAGCTGCTACTCTTGCCATGTGACTCTAGTTGTTGATTTTGTCTCATCTCCTCTCTTCTCAAAAGCTCACTTTGATCACTCCTCATGTTACAATTTGTCTACTCACAGTCCAAGACTATCCATTCCACACATGCCCCTTCCTACAAATGATTGGAACTATATGTGAACACATAGCTGGGTACACACCCTGTATTTGTCATTTGTAAAAAAATATATACAGGACTTTACTTTCAGGAGAACTTTCCAAAATATATTTTACAAAAATGTGAATACTTACTTCTCGTTACACAGTTTAACTGTACACAGCCAATAGTCAGGGTTCATGGCTGTAAGTAAACCACATTTTTCTTGCAAAATTCCCTTCAGGCTATGCCCATGAAAACAACTCCCATCTGTGTTTTCTTCAGACCACCTTAACTGAAAACTTGAAGGATTTGGCTTTTCAGCACGTCGCACCGAACCAGACAGCTTGCCAAACTGATTTTGTAAATTCACAACCATTTCTGTACAAACAGAAAGAAGGCAAAAGTATTAAGTATCAGAATACTGTTTAGAGTTGATTAATACAGGAAGAAAATGGGGTATCTGTGGGGTTTTTTATTTCTTTTTTTTTCTTTAAACCTCTGTGAGAAATACTGAGAAATCTTGTAAGTCTGTATGTTCTCTCTGCCACTCTATTTAAAATTCAAGTCTTTACATGTTTTAGTGAAAAGATTTTGAAACATAATTCAAAATGCCATGTCTTTCATACCTAATGATATTAGTAGTGGGGCACTCCTACTAGGATTTTTATGCTGATAGAAAGCACATTCATACACACACAGACTCAAGGTTAAGCTTTTCATAGTGCAAATTTCAACTGGAAAAAAAAATCCAAGAAAAAAGCCCACTCTCCTTTGTCCACTGAATGAATGACAAATTTCCATAAGTTACTGAGAAGTGCCAGAAGGTATCATGATAGATCAGCACACACAGTATGACTGCCTAAGCCTGTTTTCCTAGGATAAAAAGAAGGTTAAAAACCATTGTTGCTGGAGCTTTGACTTCTTTTCATGACCTGGATTTGAAGAAACTCATTCATACATTGAAAAAAAAAAACCTGAAAAAAAATCCTAAATTAATCCAAGGACTGGAAAGTTTATCTTTCAAGTGGATGTTAAAATCTATAATCAAAACCAAAGGTTTAGGAAGGTTTCTGAAAACCTGTATCTAGAATGTAAGTGTTCTTATGTGTGATACTCTTTGTCCCTACTACTGTACATTTGTTTTAAGATGAATCTCGTCTGTTACAATGGCATTATGTGATATTCCCGATCACAGCAGCAGTGGTAATCTCAGTGGTCTTCTTCTAGCTCCATGAGGAATCTCTTTTATTATAAATGCAGGAATTAAAGGGCATCTGAGCAATGATCAGCTTGAAATAAATTAATCTAAACATGCTTTTCCATGGAACATGAATTGACTGCAGGATCACCCTTACTGAATTTTGAAGAGTAAGAACATAAAAAAACCCTCACTGTATTCTTGAAAGAGAAATCCAACATGAGTAATTCAAACCAAATGGGATCATACAATTTGTTTAGAAGTCCCTGAAACTGAAAGAGCATATAAATGGAAAAATACCGCTTACCACACTTGACATCTCTCTCCAAATACCTGCTGCTTTCTAGATAATACTAAATGTAGAATGAAGAACTTCAGAACTAATTTGAATAAAATTCTAGTTTTACATATTTCCGTAGATAAGTGGGGTTTTGTTGTTTTGTTTCTTTGCTTTTATGTCAATGTAAACCCCAGTAATTTCTTATAAGTACTGCTAGAGTTACTTAAATACAGTAGCTGTAGCTGCATCCCACCATGTGCAGCTGGCTACTTAAGTAAAGCCTTCCTTGCTTTCTGCAGTAGATTCCAAGAAAGAGTGGGAGAGAAGAGGGACATGCAAGTCTACCAAAGGACTTAACAGGGATATTCATACCAAAGGATATGGAAGCTATGGAAGTCCAACAACAATTCACAAGGAACACAGTGATATAAAGGCAGCTGACAAAACAGTGAAGATGGGGACAGAGTACTCATTCCCAGATGTGGTTCAGTAGGTTGTTGGGAAGACTGGCAAAGGCAGTTTCAGTTATGTGTGTTTGAAAAATTCCAGCCACGGGTTGTAAAACAGTACTACATTAATTGTACCCGGAGATGAAAGAGAGGAGAGAAAGTATTTTATGATGTAAATGTTATCAGTCAGGCCTGCAGATTTCCTATGATGGGAAAAATCTGTGCAGATTTTTGCATTGCTGGGAAGAAGCAAAGTTTACTCACGTCTTCTCTTTAGAACTCTAGATTTATTCTTGACTGAATAAAACAGTGGTTTTTCACATCTCCACAGGTACCTACCAGTAAGAGACACAAGAATTGTTAAGAAAAAGAAAGCTAGAGCAAACAAATGAAAGAATAATAATTTCTTACAAATATTGCTAGAGTTTTAAATTAAAACCAAAATAATCTAATGGTTAGTGCTTTTAAAATCCACTCTCCCCCAACAGACCCAGAAAGTCTTTTTCAGAGCAGGCAAACCAAGACCTGTAAACCTAGGTGTACTATAAGCAGTTAATTGTTCAGCTGTACAAGCTATATGTCACAGAAAGTGAGCATTTAATTAATAAGCTTGATAAACATTATGAGTGTAAATAAAAAATTAAGATAGGGACTTAATCATACTATTCACTCAAGCTCGGTGGAGCAAATTTCTAACCTTTTTAATTTCTGTGAGGATCAGGATTTCACGTAAAACTGTCCACTTAAAGAAAAAATACTTTAAAACCTCTTACTTGGCTCTTTCTTCATCCAATTTCTTTTGCTCCACATCCAAGGAATGTTTTACCACTTCGTACCACTTCTTGAACTCAAAATACAGACCACCTGAATAAAATAGACACATTTTAGGTTGGGAAGAAATGAAAGAAATGTGCAGTACACAGGAGGTGGTCTCTGCACAGTTAGACCCTGCATCTTCTACCTGTATACAAACCTATCCCGAATGCGATGTGCTTAAAGAAAACATACTTGACCTACTAGTTCTATAAGAAAGAGAAATGCAGAAATACAGTGAAAGAATAGCATGTCATAAGAAGTGCAAAGAAGCCCCTTAGCTTAGACTTCATAGATTTAGAACAAATCAAACCTTTTCCCTCTTTTCTGGAAAGTTAAGCCCAGCAACTACCTCCTCTCTACCAAATGAACTAGTGCTCCACTGTGTGAAGTACCTTCACCTGTTTGAAAGCTGAATTCAAGGGATTAATGAAACTATACCTCAAGCCTAGGTTTAAACAAATAAGATCTAAAGAAGCTCAGATGTAAAATTTCACACAATTTCATCAGCTCATCACTGTCTATACTACTACCCATGACACTGTACAGGGTTGGAAGGATAAACTAGACAATGGTCTTCACTTTGTATCAGCCTCCCATGCTTTTGAGCACAGGAACTTCACTCATTGATATGTGAACAAATACTAACCAGCACATGCAAAAGCATGAAAGTATATGACACGTAGCACAATCTTTATCATTGATCCTCCAAAGAGGCACAAAACTGAAGCAGACCAACTGGGTAGAGTAAGGATAAGAATTCCAAACAGAAATAAGGTGTAGGTTTATATATTTAAAATACAATCAACTGTTCTTCCCTGTGGGTGGATTATCTGCATTGTGAATTAACCAGGCTTTGCATTTCCCCATCACCCCAGCTGCACTGCATGCAATGCTTGCATCATGCTCAGCTGTGCCAGCCAGCTATCTGAACTGCTCTGAAGGTGAATATACTGTTCTTACAATCAAACTTACGTACGTTTTGTATTATCTGCAGTTTTGCTATTTGTGTTATCCTGCCACAGGATGTCTAGATGAAACAAATATAGATGGGCTCAAAAAGCAACAGACACATAGAGGGAAGAAAGACCCTACAGTAGTTCTTGAAATTCAAAGGTGTGAATACAAGTTCTTTTAACAACTCCTTAAACCCAGAGGTTTAAGTAAATACTCCTAAACTGCTCGGAGGGCAGCTTGGGGGGTGGTAGAAATTTGTATTAAACTTCATATGAAATATTAAGCATCTGTCACACGCAAAACCATTGTCAGAGACACGATGCTACACTGTAATAACCATTTACCTGTCCAGTACTGTCAGTCTGATGTTCATGTAGCTGAGCTGAATAGAAAATACACAGCTCTGTGACACACACATACATATACATGTATCAATCACATTTTATTTGAACATAAACTGTATTGTGTATGTGTGCAGTTCATAGAACACACACACTAGGTAACTACAAGTATCTATTGCACTGCTTCCAGTGTGTTTTGAAGAACTGTAGGAGCTGAAATACTATTTTTTAAGGACTAGAGAAAGGATAGTTAACAACTGGGAATGGAGTCAACATAAACTGAATCTTTAAAACTCAGTGTTAACCATTATTCATTTCAGCACTCTAATTTTGGGAAAATGCCAGAGGCAGTTTTGAGCTCTGGCACTAATCATTGCTCTAACAGAAATTCTCACATCAGCTCCTCTGTGCAGCTGCTCACCATCACCCCAACATTTAAAGGACAGGGACAACATAACAGAGCATATGGATCAATTTGCACCAGCAGATTTTAAAGTAAAAAAGTGGGCAAAGAATAAGCTGCTAATTCCCAAGGGCAATGAGACTTGTTAATAAGGGAGAAACCCCATTAAGACACTAATGGCTTTGAGCCTTAGCTTGTAAAGCAGCTGCACAACTCTCACTCTTGTCACTATCATGTACTTCAAGTTTTCAAGGGAAATAAAAAGGAAAAAAAGAATCCACAATAAGTTGGTATATCCACTTGAAAATTACCAGTTTTAGTTAACAGTGATGATTGTTTCTAGTTACAGCAGTAATTGTGCTCACACATGGCTAACACCAATTTTATTATTGACTTAAGTTTTAAAAAATAGCAGAAGGGTCAAAACGGACTCAAAACTGGATGGAAGACTTAACAGATAAACCACTGTAACACATCTTGGATCTTATCTTCAACTGTGAGCTGGATGAGGCCATGGAACATCTTCCTGAAGATTTCTAATCTTTGATTTGGTCTTTCTGCCCTCAAAGAACCATGTTCACACCATTATCTTCTCTATCTTAATTGCTGCTAGCTTTTCCACACTCTCTCAAGATTATTTGGACTAAGAAACTAGATTACATCTGAAATATGTTACACACTAAGACATTTTATTTAACAAGACTAAACAAGTTTGGATTTTATCATAAATGTGGTTTGATGCCCCTAGTATTTGCCATTTACGATCAAAGTGCATTCCCTCTTTATGTGTATCCATTCATCTTCACCCAGCAAGCACAAAATTCTAAAACAAGAGGCAAACATGGACAAGCAGAAGCAGAGGTACCTAGCAAAATGTGTACCAAACTTCCTTATCGAGCACAATAAGAATTATGCAGGTGCACTGAGGCTATTTTATGTGAGCAGAATCTACTCTTTTCTCTGAATAAAGATTTGTCCTAAAAGAATAAATGACAAAACCACATTTTAATGATCAATAAGCTTGATTACAAAGTTGTTTCACTTACTAAATCACAACATTGCTTCTACTAGAATATTTATATACCTTCTTTGTTATTTTTATTTCTTTCTTCAGCCAAGTCTGAAAGTAACCTGAAAAAAAAAAATCAGGCTGTTTTGTAGATCTAAATACTGCACTTTTTACATGAAGTTCAAATACAACTGACAAAAATGACACCCTAATTTTATTCCAAGTTTCAGATTCAAATCAATGATTTTTAAAAATAAGTAATATTTCATGTCTAAAATACTTTCATGTGTACATTTTAACCTACTGAACTGAACTGAAATTCCAATACTATAAACTTAATTCTAAAGAAGGAACGCTCCAAAAAACAATCATTTGCACTATTTGAAATTTGGGCTTTGCTACAGATTTGCCTTTACACTTACCATTCATAGTGATCATCTAATAAAAACAGTAATTTGAGCACAACTACAATAACTGCTGCAGCAAGAATATCATATTTCACTTTTCTTGTTGACTTATTTCCAGGTACAAGAGTCAGGAAATCCACTTCTCCAATACCGATTTTTTTCACCACTCGACAAGTCCAATTATGCAATTCATCTGATTAATATAAATAAAAACGTAAAAGGAGTAGGTTAAGATAAGCTAAAAATATTTTTACAGTGCAAATATGTTGGTCATTTGAGGAAAACAATATTTAGATATTTTAGGACCATTTGACAGCCATTTTTTTCAGGCTGAGTATTTTTAAAAATACTCAGCAACCTTCACTGCACTTCCATGGAAAACACTTATGACATAACATATTCACATGGAGAAAAAAAGAATCACATATTTAATAGTGTTTTGATGTTACTCGAATGATGTTGCGAGATCATCCTGAATGTTCTTCTGGGTAAGCCTATCACAAATCCACATAAATACAGTTTCAAAAGAAACCCCAAAAGCCAAAAATTCGTCACAAGCTTTTTTCCTGCATTTTGACTAAATACCCATGGGAGGACGGATTCAGCACTGCATAGAAGAGAAACAGAGGCTAGTTTTAAAGCAGCTGTTTGGGTATGAATAGCAGTTGGATCGTGGCAGGGCAGCATTTGCTGCTCCCCTGACAAAACCTGGCAGGTTAGACCCAGCTTTACCTCACGCAGCTCCATCGCACCCTCACACCCGCTAGCGCAGGTTGTGCCATAAGATACAACTGCAGTCCACAAGCAACAGTGTATCTGTACAGTCTCTTATTACTCTGCTTATTTTTCACAGATACAAATCCCCCAAATTTCTCACCTTTCCTGTTCAGCAAGAAATACAGGAGCTGATTACATCACCAACAGATTCCACAAAGGTTAGCAATGTATGACTAAGTACAACCTTAATCCAGCTATACTTACAGTCTCTTGCTGCTTACAAACAGGTCAGCAGGAACTTGTTTTTAATCCTCTCGTACAAAACAGTAAAACTTAACCAAAGTCTGGAAATTATATCTTCTTATAAATACTACCAGTATATTTTATTTCAGATACTTTAAATGGCCTCTTCCTTAGTACTTAAGTGTCCTAAGAAACACTGCCAATCCATTGCTTATTTTTTGGGGGGAGTTGTTAGACAACAGCAGCAGTCCTTTTTCAATTCTTAGAAAAATGTTTCTACATGACAAAAAGCATAGTTGCAAGGAAAAAGTAAAGGACATTATATTCTTCGTCTACAGTAATTTTCAAAGAGTACTGTAATAAATCTGAAAATGACAATTTTCTAGCCTTTGCTTTGATTCAACTGATACTTCACAATTTGCAAAATAAGGTGACCCTCTATAGGATCATAACACTGGTGTAAAACTATGAAATCAGAATTTCTATTCTGGAATTTTAGGCCTAAATCTGTTAGTTATCTTATTTTCATTCAACTGTGAGTAAACAGAAAACCCAAGCAGCTTTATTCAATGTAACTAATTGCAAAAAGACAATAACCCCTACCCTATTCCCAAATTGTTGGAATACTTTGAGGAAAAAAAATTAATTTACAGGCTGTTTGTCTGTATAACTCATCTTCAGTGACAGCGGTATTTGACAGAAAGTATGGTAACCCAACAGATAGACCAATATGTCCTAGTGTGTGAACTTTCTTTGACAATTCAATATTCAAGACTTAAAAAGTCAATACTTTAACAACATTCAGTTTTAGAACTAAATCATAAATACAGTGAAACAGCAGCTGATCTGTCACACAGTGTCAATATTAAAATTAATGCTAATATGCAATATTATATAATATACAAAACATATTCTATATTAGAGAATATACAGTCATTATTATATATGAGAATTCAAGAGCTAAGCAATCAGGTCCCAACTTCATGAATCAGTTAGCTAAAGTTAATAAATCACATGAATTCAACTAGTGCCTCTTAGTTCACATGGATACTGAAAGATTTGAAATGAAGTATCCACTCCACGACTTAGAGAGCCAACACCAGAGTGCCCTTGCATATCTGGGTCTATAATACATACTCTAAATGTTTGATGAAGGTGCTTTCTATAGAAAAAATATCTTTCAGTTCAAGCTTAAATGGGAATAAATTAGGAGGAAAAGAGCAGCAATTTTCAAGTAGTAATTCAAGCCTTTTTGCCAGAGTTTAATAAACCACAGAAAAGTTTTATCAGTACAGGCTAGGGAAAATATTTACCAGGTAAATTAGCTTCCATCAAGTACTTGATGCACAACATGTCTGGATGAAGAAAGCAGCTGTCTGTTATATCTGGAAAACGAGGCAGGTCTAAAAACACCGCAAGCTCAAGCATTTTGTTGTATACTTCTTCATATACAGGCCATGACTGAAAGACATCATTAGAAGGTGTTACTCATTTGCTCTATTACCATATTTGTTAATGATTTCAAATTAGTTATTAATGTTAAATTCTGTATTGTTTAATACAGGATTATTTATACAGACTCTTTTAGCACTCTATGACTAAACACACGTACAAGAATGGAGCCAGATTGCAGTACTGCAAAGAGAGACCTGTGCTGGTTTCAAATCCCATGAAATATATAAGGAACAAATAGAAAGTTGTTTCAGACCTGCAACCAACACTCTACCTTTTTTGTAAAGTGATCAGTATGTCTCCAGATGCTACAAAACTGAAAGAGCTATTGAAAAAAAACCATTACAAGTGCAATTGATGATGAACTGCCTAAAGAGCTAAGAGATCAGAAAACCACAAAAGGTGGAGGTTGGCAGGGACTGCATAAAACCACCAGGTCCAAGTCACTGCTTGGGTCACCTAGAGCAGACTGCCCAACCCTATGTCCAGTTGGATTTAAATACTTCCATAGATGGCAGCTTCACAACACCTGTGGGAAATCTGCTCTAGTGTTTCTGTTTCACCAACCCCTATGTACAAAAGAAAAAACGTTTTGTTTTCCCTCACACTTAAATGGAATTTCTTGCATTTAAATTTGTGCCCATTTCCTCTCATCCTGTCACTGGATACCATTAAGGAGGATCTGGTTTTCCTCCTTTGCACCCTCCTGCAGATATTACATCACACTCGCCCTGAGTATTCTCCAGTTCCAGGATGAACAGTCGCAGCTCTCTCAGCCTACCCTCATTTGTCAGATGCTCCACTCCATCAGCTTCACAGTCCTTTACTGGACTCACTGCACTGCGTTCACATCTCCTTTGCAGTGGATAGCCCAGAACTGGACCCCAGCACTCCCGGTGTGTCTTACCAATGCTGAGCAGAGAGGAAGGATCACCTTCCCTGAGGACTTGTGCAGTCACCACAACTTTTCAAAAATTATTGGCAGTGACATTGAGATGACGCCAGCCAGCTGCCTCAGCACTTGTGGCAGCATCCCATCACAGCCCATGAACCTTCATACATCCAGTTTGTTCATATATTCCCCAACTTGCTTCTAAAAAACTGAGGTAAAAAACCCATTCATCACTTTAGCCTTCTCCTTGGTCTTTGTGACCGTATTCCCATTCAGCAGCAGGCCCACATTCCCTAGAACCCTTCCACAGAATCTTTAATGTAATGTTATTTAAAAAAAAGAATTCCATATTTGCATATTTATTAGTGAAAATAAATCTACAATTCTCTTTTCAAAACTATTGACTGCATGAGGAAAATTCTCCCAGTTTCTACTGAAGCTTTCCTGCTACTGAAGAATATAACTGACAGATTTTGACATGTTTACTCATAATGAACTCAACAGGACCTGAGGTTTGTGTAAGTATAGACTGTAAGGTTTGACCCTCATTTCTTAACACCTGAACTGTTTCATTAAACATTCTTAATTCTCTGTATTTTAAGTGATTACTTGAATTTACCTCTCAAAGCAATAATTTAGGTTGTTCAGGCTACTTTACCATTTTAAATGCATAAAAAGCAATGCTTTTTCTGCTTTAGTTGGTGGTTCTAATTCAGCAGAGCACTTTATCATGTATTTATATTTTATAAAGTCAATTTGCGCATACGGAACCCTCCTTTAATAGAAATTTAGCACGTGTTCACACTTTGTGCACAACTTCAAAACTTCCTCCAACAAGGGTGAATTAAATGTGGTTTTATCCAATAATTCGTTTTCATCAATTTTAATATAAGCTATGTAGCCAGTGCTTAAATTTTGAGTGATTACCAACATTTCATTTTCTTTTTTTAAATTATCTCCCCTCAAACTGCAGTTCAGACTTGCTTAACTGTATGAATACATGCTGAAGCAAATGAATAATTCTGCTGTCACTTGCTATTACACATGTAACTTTTTGCAACAGTTAGGAAGTTGTATCATGTTCATTAAAGTTTCTAAACAGTGTTAAAAATTGGCTCAGACTGCTCCAGGACTATATTGAGAAACAAGAAAAACATGCATTACAAGAGTTTTGCAGTAGACCAGGCTCACAGTACTTTCTATTCCTTTTAAAAAGCAGTGCTAAATTGAATACCAAAATGATCTTGGAACACAACCTGAATCATATGTAACTTCTCTTGAGTGTAGTGGCAGAAAAATTAAAGTCTCAGATAATTCAAATAAGAACATTACATAAATATTATTCCTAATTAGATATGAAGGAAATATGCTTTTCCCTTTAATGAAAAGAATTAGTAGCTTCTTAATATCACAGATGAAAATAATTTACAACACCAGGAATTCAGTCACTTGAAGTAATCCCCTTCTCAAACATTAAACTATCACCAGTGGAGCTATCTGCACAGTCTAATTTAATACCAAGGTACTTTAGGAATACAGCTTTTAATTGAAGGACTCAAGGAAGACACCTCTATCACCTTCTACCTGAGCTCTCACTGCACTAGGGCAAGGAGATAGCCTTCCTATCCTAAGCAGTATTGAATCATACCTTCCTTGCCAGGCCCAACACTTACTTTTGTTTCAAAGTTTTTGTTTGCAATTTATAGGAGTCAAACTGGTTCTTTCTCAAAATGGCTAGAAAACACTCTGCTTTGCAATGACAACCAAGGCTTTCCTTTTTTTGAAGGCAAACAAGTGGTATAAAAACTACAAATAAAAATTAAGACTGAGAGCTACCACTTGGCTTATTTTAAAAAGAGTGTTAATAGACAAAAACAGTTCCTCGTTGATGTGTGTTCATAAGATATCTAAACACATTTGGGACATGCAGATTTAGGAAGGGCATCCTAATAGACCACAAAGATCAACCAAATCAATTTCTACTTTCCAGGGCTTAACCCCCTAAGCTCAAAAACATTCACTGCAGTACTCCTGTTGCTACAACGCAGCACTGAGTCATGACCACGCTTCCAGGAGTACAGTCATCTCTGGAACTGTGAGCTGCAAGGATAAGCTGGATCCAGCACAAGATCACACCTCCGCGGGACACATCACAGCAAAGGGCCAAAGGCTGAAAGGTTGAGGACTGAGGAGACTGCTGGGTTATTTTAGGAAACAAGCACTGGCTGTTTTCACCAGTCACTGCATACCCTGCTTAATTCTGAAAGAGCTGTGAGTTCATACAGCAAATCTTTTATTCTGCAAATATTTTATTCTTTTATTCAAACATACTGCAAGGGTTAAAAGAGAAAGAACTCCCAAATTCCACACAACCAACACCATAAGTGTTGGGACAATATTAAAAAAAAGCAAGATACAGCAAAAAAGCAGCCTCAAAATTAATAAAAGTTATCACCTTCTATCTAGCTATGTATCTCTGCCAACAACAACAACAACAACAAAAACCAAAAAAAAAAAAAAAAAAAGAATCTGATAAAACAAGTTGTACTGGAAGTCAACCAGCAAATCCACTAGGAAAGTAAGATCCAGAGCTGGGGCCTCCTTCTTTCAGGTAAAAAAACTCTGCCTCCAGCACACCATGATTAAACCTCAAGGGAGGAGTACTTGGACAACAGAGGACAGTGTTAGATCATATGTCACGCTCTCTCCAATTGTAACTTTCACTTATCCAATCATAAATTAAAAAATTCAAGTTGTATTTCTGTGCTAAATATTAGGACAACTCCCCTGTCTATCAACACGTGGAGTCACTGAACTCTCACCTTGTTTCAAGAACCTGGGAAACAGTATAAAAGCCACAAATAAAACTCAAGTTACAAACCCTTGAGGGCACCTAATAATTCCAGGAAGACTGACAGAAAACCCTTTTAAAGTTATGCCACTTGCTAGCCTTTTCTGAAGTTTCGCAAGTTGAGATTTCTTCAAGACTGATCAACAATGCTGACAGAGTCTGTAACTTGTCTAGATGGGGTACAGAGGTTACCAAGAACTTTTCTTAAGCTTTGTCTTTAAAATCTTTGCATGTTATTCCCACATGTGACAAATAAGGTAGCTACAGGTCTTCTCCAGAAAGCAGTACAGAAGATTAGTACTACTTGAGAGTACTTCCCCCTGTCCTCCTCCCCAACAACTTTAGCTGAGCACAGGAGAACAAAATACACACTCTTGAGTCAGTGAAAAGTGTCTAGAACAAGATTTTTATGATAATAAATAGTCATTAGACTATTTAAGTTGGTTGTCTTTATCTTTCAAAGTTACATGGCATTTTTCACCCATATTAGAAAACAAGCTGGTTTTCAGGAGCAGAGGAGCCAAACTATTAGCATGATAATCAGATCACAGTAACAGGTAATTGTTTTGGGTAAGCCAAGATTGCAGCCCCTCCTACTTGTTAGGACAATATCAGAATGTTGCTGATCAACAAGTAGAAAACAATATGCACTGGCTGGCTTTCTAGAATAATTTGCAGGCTCCATATTTTCTTGTTTTAAATGTGGTCTGACTGACTCTCCTCTTAAATGACTATATAGGCCACTTCCTTCTTGGGTATCAGGACAATATCCCTGCAGGCGTTAAGGCATTACTCACATATTCACAATACTCACAACTCAGTTTATTTTACAATGATAATGTTCTATCCTTTCTGAAAAGAATTAATTATACAGTTGCTTTAAATTTTCCCTTCCATTTTTCCTTCTTTCCTGTTCAGTACTTTTTTTGCAGCACAATTCCCTTCCTCATCATCCTTCTACCTGTGAATTTCCATCTTGAGAACTGTTTTTTCCCATGCCTGTACATTCTCTAAAGTTCTACCTTCACTTAGGCTGCTTATGTTCCACAGCGGACGTTTTTTCCCAAGTGATTTGTTTATTGACCATTTAATACTGGAATCTAATACGGTCCAACTCATTTTTGCATTATTGGCTTTTTGTAGGTCTCTGGGAGTCATCTGACATTTAGAATTGGATATGATTGCAATTATCCAAAACTCAGCAAGGCTTCATCATTTTTAAGATGAAAAATTCAGCCTAAACCAAGTTGGAACAAGAGTGTACAA